TACAGCTACCTGTAAGTGGAAGCTAGACATGGGACAAAATCACAGTGTGACAAACTGTGATTTATCATTAGATTTTTGCGTACGTACCTTGGGTTTTGCTAGGTAGGTAGGTTAGACGCTTTGTAACTGTGAATATAGTATTTTTTTAATTATCATGTAGGGAATGGTAGGAATATATAATAAAATAATTACTAGATTTCCTGTTAAATAGGCGAAGTAAGGTCTTTATGCATCGTCGGAAAACAGCTTATTGGCAACAACGCGTGAGTAATTAGTAACCCTAACCTACCGGGGCACAAGACGGCAGAATGCTCTGCCGTCCCTCAATGTCCAACGTGTGCGGTGGGTAACAAGACCGCAAATCACCAGATGGAGCAGGAGGACTGCAGGCCTCCCCGCAATTCTCGGCAAACATTGGGGGCTAGCCAGTCGATCCAGGCTGCCTCCGACGTTGCTTGTGCGTCGACGTCGTCGCCCATGGAGGCGATTGTAGAGACGGCCCAGTAATGGACCAAGTCTCTAACTTCCTTGTCCAGACGAACCTGTACCACAATGCCGGTGCGCAGGTTCTCTTCCTGCAAACAATGGCGCAGTGGTCGATCGGTGTAGCCGTAGCCGCGGAGCCCTATTACGTTCCTCCCCGTCACCATATACGGGTGCATTCTTCTCCCCCAACCGGAGTTTGAGCAACTTTGAGGTTTACCTCAACAGATTGTCTGGGCACATCCTGGTGCTGGGTAACTTCAAGGCAAAATCCATTGCTTGGGGTTCCCCCAGACGGACGCTAGGGGTGGGCTTCTATCTTCTGAATAGAGGCTACACCAATACGTGTGTGGGGTCGATAGTAGACATTTCGTTAGCTACCCCTGCCCTTGCACGAGTAAGAAACTGGCGTGTTTTGGAAGGATCACCTGTATAATCGATTTGAGCTCTACAGGACCCTGGTAGCGGTCACGTGGCGTGGTGTTCTTCCCGTTTTCTGTTGCGAAGCTGAACAGGGACCTACTAAAGGAGGCAGCTATCATTCACTCTTGGCTGTCTCAGCAGGCTCCCACCGAGGAGGTCGATATTATGGGAGCTGGACGCTTTCGTAATGCGACTACGCAGATTTGCAATACGGCTATGCTCCGCTTCCGAGGTCGTCGGTCTCCACGGAAGGAGGTCTACTGGTGGTCCCAGGATTCGGCGGACCTCCTTGTGGCTTGTACTCGTGCCCGGAGGTCCTACACCCGCAGTCGGCGGTGTCACCGCGGGGACGGAGAGGAGGACCGGCGTCATGAAGAGAACCGAGAGGCGCGCGGCAAACTCTGAAGCTGGCCATTAGCCGCGTCAAAGAGCATAAGAGAGATGCTGGAGGGCCTCGACCATGACCCCTCGTTCTGCTTCGGGCCGTGACCGAAGAGGCTCAGAGCTGTGGCGGCGTGCTGTTAGCGGTGTCGTTGGACATCACCAACACATTCAGCTGCATCTGGGAAGCACTCCACTATAGGATGCCAGAGTACCCTGTTGGTAGCAGATTATTTAAAGGATCGCACCGTCGTCTACGAGGACCGAGATGGTAATGTGAGGTGTCGGCCCATGTCGTGCGGTGTTCCATAGGGGTCCTGTGGAACATAGGGTACGACTGGGCGCTTCGAGCTGATTTCCGCCACGGGCTGGGTGTAATTTGTTACGCCGATGACAATTTGGTCACAGCCCGGGGGAGAACTTTGAAGAGGCGGTGCGCCGGGCCACCTGGGGAGTCTTTCTGGTGGTCGGGCGCATTGAGGCGCTGTGCTTACGGGTAGCCCTGGAAAAGACGGAGACCCTCTACAACCTTGGGCCCCGTCGTGGTCTTCGTCCTGGCGTCTCAATCGTTGTCAACTCGGTCCTCTTACCGCTTCAGGCTCAGATGGAGTATCTGGGCCTGATTCTCGACGGAAGGTGGCTCTTCGACGAGCACGATAGCTGTGAAAATTTGTTGGTGAAAGACGTCGGGTATTACAAAAATATAAATACGTTTTCTTTTTTCTTTCTTCCTTTCTTTCAAAAACTGGTCGACGCTGCGTCTGCCCTTAGGCCCTTGTCCGTTCAATAGCACTGTACGGTGCACCGGCATGGGCGGCGGCTCTGACCGCCCAGAATACGGCGTATCTCTTGCGCCGTCAGAGGGTATTACCGGTTAGAGCCATACACGGTTACCGCACTGTGTGGACAGAGGCGACGTGCGCGTTGGCCGGAACTCCCCCTTGAGATTTGGACGCGGAAGTACTCCCCGAATTATATCGGCGGACGACTGAGTTCCGGGCGGTTAGCGGCAGCCGGCCCCGTCGCGTAAGTACGCGAGTGGCGTGAGGCCGCTCGTCGAGCTGCGATGGCTCGTTGGTCGTCCCGGCGGCTCGGGGCTCCACGTGCTGGTTTTACATTGAGTCCCGCCTGTCACCATTGCGATTGCAGTGAGGACTCGGCTCAGCAGTCCTTATTGCATTTATTGGAGAGGATCTCTTGCTACCGGCTGTTATACGCTGCATGGCCGGTAGCGATAGTTGTTTTACCGCGGTCGCATCCTTCTGCGAATTCATGCCGCCCTGAGTGTGGCCGCGGGTGGACAGGACGGGTTTTCTCCTCCACCCGCCATAAGGGCTAGCCGCGAGCCACTCCTATTACAGGCGCAGAGTGGCACACCGTGTGGTTTTAGTCGGTCCGATTCCAACGCAACCTACGAGGGCTCGTGTTCACTTTATGCTTATATTCTATGTTACTATCGCCCAAGTGTTATAGGTATCTGTACTAGTGATGCGCCGATCCGAATTCAAATCTAGAAAATATCGGATCGCGGTCCAAACATGGTGGTTTGACTGCCTATAAAGTCAAGTGTGTGGTCTAATTTTACAAAAACACCTGATGGAGCGAAATCTAAACTTTTCTTAATTGTGAAAACAATCACATCACTTGGTCCCTTTATCACCAAATGTAAATACGACAGTTTTTAATGTGATAGGATCAAAATAGCCCGAGGCTATTTTGATCCTATCACATTAAAAACTGTCGTATTTACATTCTCAGCCGATGCTTTTTTGTTTGGAATAAAGTTATTAGGATCGATCTTTAGAGGATCGGATCAAATGTATGCGATATGTAAAATCGGATCGAACTTAAAGCGCATCCTTAATCTGTACTGATATTATGAAGCTGGAGAGTTTGTTTGTTTGTTTGGATAAACGCGCTAATCTCAGGTACCACTGGTTCAAAATGAAAAAATCTTTTAGGGATAGCCCATTTAGCGAGGAAGGTTATAGGCTAAAAAACATCAAAATACGAATAGCAGTTGACAATCAAAGAAAAAAGTTGGAAAAACGGTGAAAATTTATTCCTTTTGAGAGACACTGGGGAAGTTGTTAGAAGAGAGAGAGAGAGGTCAGCTAGTTTTTAAAATTCTATTAGATACGTAGGTCGAAATCCCATCCTTTACTTAGATGTAGGTATTTACATTAATCTTATCCATTCTTTTTCTATTTGGCAGATTAACAAAGATAAAAAGACGATAAAGAAGAAAACGGCTTGTAAACTATAACTAACCCACGTAAAATACCTATATTACACAAACAATGATTAATATAATCGAGATAATGAATAATATTATAGAGGATTCAACAGGCGAATCTCATATGTAACATCTTTATTTTTTTAATGAAAATGTTTAACTTAGGTTTTTGATTGTTTTGATGTCATCTATTGCAAATATAATTATGTATTCGATTGCCGAAAGACTGCAAATGCGATGCAAATTTAGAAATAATTAATATCGTTTCTTAAATATGCAATAGAAACCGTTGCTCCAGTGCATTGGGACGATGTCATTTCTAGTTCTAGTTGTTTTTGTGACGAATAACAAAACTCATTTAATTAAAAAGAAATCCTATAGATAGTATCTATCATAGTCTATGAATGGTTACAAGTGGTTTAATGGAATAAATATGATGGTCTATAATTTTTTAACAGAGCATTTTATTTACTTTTACAAATTCAGGCACTAGTAACTTTAAAATTAAATAAACGAATCGAGTAGGTATAGTTAAGCTACTGAACTCTCAAAATATGTGATTTCTAACAAAAGAGGTCAACAAAGATCAATTTATCCGTACCTGGGCGTCCTTGAATTTGTTGGGGATTTGCATACAAGGTGACCTTATTAAGTTTTAGTGGGGTTTAAATTTAGCGTCTCGATTTTTTTCTTGTTTTTTATTTATTCTCATTCTATACTTTTATCAGTAAACTGGAACGTAGTTCTGTGTTTGTATTAAGTAGTAATTGAATTAAGTAGGTATTTTTTTTAAAGACTTCATTCTTATGTGTATTGCATGACTAATAACAACAATAACCTTGGAAAGGTCTTTTAACATACATTATGGTATAATTCTTTAACAAAATAGGTTGAATCCCCCACGTATAAGCCTAATTATGAATTGAACTAAAACCGAACTTTGGAAGCATTTACAGACATCAGTTTAAGGTCGATACGGTCCATATTTATTATGCAAAGTGCCAAAAGCCTTGAACTAATTTTACTCTTTTTTTCACAATCGTCGTCTTCCCGATACATATACTTATTGGGTCAATATAATTAATAGTGACCACGTGTTAAAAAATTGGACAAAATGAGTTTGAATCACGGGTAATACTTAACGAATTACTTGCTTACAATATACAATGCACAACTGCTGTTCGATATCCACAATCCATAATTATTAATTCGTGGATATAGAGCGTGAAATAAAGCATTCAGGCAAAACAAGAAGTAAGTAGGTATATAGGGGCGCAACATGTTGGCGGATTCTCCAGTCGTAAGCGACGACGCTCGCGGGCTGCTCGGTGACTCCCGTGCCGTGAGCGCCTTCGTGTAAGAACTACCTATCGACACAGATAAAGGAATTCCTATGTGATGTTAGTAAACAAAAAGTGTATAAATAAAAAGCGCGGTGTGTTCCCCTTGTCAGTCTGGTTGTGAATTTTAGCAGGCAATGATGTCTCTTCCGGGAGTTTTTCTGTTTTCTCACTACGTAGAAAGCTTATGGGTAAGTTTTTAAAAATATTATAAGCATTTTAATTTAAATTCATTAATTATGGTTATATTTACTATTATTTAATAAAAAATTTAGGTACTTAGTAGATATAGCTACTTTAATCTATTTCCCTTTTAATTATATGAATAATGTAATTTTCTTTTGCATTTAGGTAGTTCAGGCTGCCTCTAAAGTTTAAATTCAAACATGTAAATAGTCCGTAAAGTAGTAAAACTCAAAGTTAAGAATACTAATGTGCGTTCATGCGTTTCAAATTAAGTTAATGGTATTTATTTTATTTTCTTAATGTGTCTAACTTGCTCTATCCCCAACACAAAGATCGGGCCGAAGCATAAAGTGTAAGAAATTACGGCTACAAGTAGAAAATATACATTATTCAGACATTTTTCTTGCGAATTATGAAGCGATGCCTAGCTTGCGTGTTATAGCGAAGTTATGTTGGAAGTTAATTATAATAGCTTTTTTCCCTTCGGAAAAATTACTTGAAAAAGGGCTTAAATTGTTGCATGCAAATTTGACCTATACGTTGTGAGAGAACGGTCAAACTAAACTGTTAATGAAGGTTACGTGTAAGTAATATTTATAGGTACTCCGTTAATTGTCCTTCGTAATTTATAATTTGTAAGTGCCTACTCTTGACAATTAAATAAATTCTTGTTATTCATCCATAACCGAAGTTACGGTTCAACTATTTTCTTAAGTTCACTACTTCTTGCGTGTGTGTCAGTAATAAGTATATTAAATAGTTTTGACCTTTAAATACGTAATTAAAATTCAAATAGTGACCTATATTAAGTTAGGTCTTAAAATACGTTATGTTTATACTGAAGTTTACATTGAAATGAAGAATAAATAAATCACATTACAACTGGTCATGTTGTTAAATAACGATGCTTTGCATTATTTTTATCCATTCTCTTTCGTTCTTTCTTCGTCTCGTTTCCCTTCTAAATTGATTATTCTTTTAATGAAGTTTAATTTATTTTCTCCTTAATCTTGTATATTAAAATACTTTTTAACCTTACAATTTAGTAAATTTCATTATTTTTATTGTCGTTTGCTTGCTTCATTTTTTAAATTAGAATTTTGAATACGACGAGAGTGTTGCATTTCACAGTCCTATGGTAGCGTTATGTAGAAAAAGTCTGTCTGTCATTACCTTTTGCCAAACAGTTCTCGTTGCGCCAGGAGTGCGTGAGACTGCTTGACCGCGACGTTGAATATTCAGTATAAATGTTCACTCATCGTAATATAGATATTAATATTCAATCGGTCGCTTACTCCTGCCTCTGATTCAAGGTTAATTTTTTACTTGAACTGATTAAGAATAATTGCGAACATTGTTGTATGAGATAAGATTTCCTAACACTAAAAACTGATTGTACGTAGGCACCACTCTAGTTAAGTATTTACACATGTGTAAATATGTACAGTTATCTTTGCGTGGATTACTTGTTTTTTTGCTACATTATAAACGTGTAAATGTTTAATAATGAAGTTCTTTAGTTCATCACGTGAATTTTTTGATGATTGTGTTATTGACGGGATATTACTCATCAAATTTTTAAGCAATCTAAGCATTAGTATAAATATTATAAGAATTCCTTTTAAGAACAAATAAATTATCATTAAATTATTACTTTATTAGTCTGACGAAATTCGTCGTTTCCCTCTTTTGCTCCGTTTCCGTAATATTTAAAAACTTCGCGTTTAAAGTGGTACAGTGAAGTATCTGTATTAATATCATCATGTGAGACTTTGACAAATCTAGTTTTAGATTTGCACCAGCATGACGGGGACAGACTGCACGAGTGGCGTAGTGGGTTCGATCCTCACATGGGACACCACAAATTGTTGTTCTGAGTTTAGGGCCCGTATTTTAAAAGGTGTCTCTGTCGTGAATCTAGTCTTAAAACTAATTTTAAGTAGACATTTTATTATTGAACGTCACTACGAAACGAGACTCCCCGATCCATACTCAAGTGAGTGATAAATTATTTTAGAACGATGTTTATGTCGAAGTCTTTACTCTCAAAATACTCATTTAAAATCACCACAACCTTTTGGTGTATGTTAAAAGTATAATGTTATTCTAGTAAACATTGTTGAGTGCTCGCCTGGTATGGTTGACCCAGAGACTAAAGGTATAAAAAGATTGTCATTATGCATGGAACACAATTTTCTTGACCTCAACAATACATCGGCTGAACGACGACCGAGCATGATGACCCTTATCACAAGCAAGCGCCGTTCTCTATCAATATCTAAGTCATCATTTAAATTAGGAGTTATATGGTGTCCAAGATAATCAAATTTGTCTACTGTCTTCAGCGCTGTGCCATTCAAATAAAGAGAAGGCATGTTAACAGATGTATTGCGTGTTTTAAAGACCAGCAGCTCAGTCTTTTTGTCATTATTTAACAGTCCATTTTCTCTTGCATATTCCTTACATGTCTGTAACAGTCTTCTCATACCTTTGATAGTTGGACACAGGAGGACCATATCATCAGCATAGCTAATGTTGTTAATGCAAAAATCACCTATATAACAGCCAATACCTGTCCTCGTGAGTTCAACAATCAGATCATTAATATAAAAGTTAAATAATACAGCCGAAGTTATTCCACCTTGTGTAACACCACATTTTAACATGTATCGGTCTGATATACTATTACCCCATTCATTCGTTTGATTATCATACCAATACTTCAAAATGTTTTTCACCCCTAAGGGTACGTCAGTTTTTAACAGTTTTGTACATAGTTTTATATAATCTACGCGATGAAAAGCCTTGCTGAGGTCAAGGAAACACGTATTTAATGGGGTATTGCGAGATGTATACCTAAATGCACAACGCTTAAGGGTATAAATAGCCATGTCAGTGGAAAATCCTAACTGAAATCCAAATTGCTTATGATCAATCGTTAGGTTATAATTTAAATATGGTAGTAACAAAGTTTCAAATAGTTTCGAAAAAATCGTCAGTAAAGAAATGGGTCTATAGTTTGACATATTCGTGTTGTCACAAGATTTGGCTTTTTATAACAGGCACTACACTATCAATACTTGAAAGTAGTTTCAACTGAGTAAAACTTTAAATGCGTACTATAATAAGATCGATACTTAAGTTTTGATCTGCACTTAAAGCTAGTTGGGTCGTCATTAAAAATATGGGTCTAGCCCATATTTTAAAAGACGCCTTATGTATCGGTTGAACTCTTGCGCTCTTGAGCTCTTGCCTGAAACTAGTTTTAAGTGCAGATCAAAACTTAAGTGTCGATCTCGTGTTCTTTGTGTTCGTTTCATGTATGTTTGTAAAGTCTCCTGCGACACAGGATATACGAGTATATTCTTAGTATAGAGTATCTCTCTTTATTCAAGTTCACTAAGTGCCGTAAAGACGTGGATGTAAAGACGCTTACGTGTAGGAGTTAAGAGTAAGGCTAGGTTCTTATTATTGTGTGGTGTTGTGTCATCATGTCACAAAAACACATTAGGACAGAGTGTCGTGTTGTCACAACACAAGGTAGCAATGTCTATCTAACCGATACCAAAGCTTACGATTACGATACACTTCTGACATGACACAACACAACATAACACAATGAAATAAACCTAATTTAGTTCATTAATATAAACAAATCTGGTATAATGAACTGCTACCCTAATGTCACTATCGGGTAATAAGTCAAAGCAATGTGTACAAATATTTCAATAATGCTTAGATATTAGGTACATTTAGATACCTTCGTTCGGCAATCAATTTTTGCTTCAATTTAATGCCATAAGGTGCAAGTCATTAGGCGGAATAAACAAACTGGATTAGGCATTTCCGTATAAAAAAGTACTACAAGGTGAATCTTCAATGTTCTTCACTTTGAAGATTACAATTCACGTTTTGCTTTAACTTCACGGTCTACTATTTACTAATAGAAGGACCTTTTTCCTAATCGAAATGTTCTAGTTTAAAGACGTGAATGAAAGAAACTATCTACAATTCTAAATGAAACATCCAATTCAAGAGCCCATGATAATTCTACAGATACTTTCGATTAGCTGCTGGCAATCCCACCTACACAAGACCCACTCTTGGAGATTTTGTTTTTTGTCTGTTCTACTTTTGTGATGTCGTCAGCCTTCCATAACAGGTTAGCTGGCTAAAACTACCCTATTAGTATGATAATCGATTGCCGAGTTTGGCCATACACCATTGAGCGGTAGAAAACTTTGTATCGACCGTTACCACCGTGCTATAGCCTTGAACATCATACAAGGCCAAATTTTATTGTACAATTAAATGTATTGTACCTAACGTTGTTTTTCGTGTCGATTAACTAGAAATGCTCTGTGTTCGTTGTAAATATGTTGTTTCTATAGAAATACGTTCGTATCTACGCAATTGGGTGGCCTGCTCACGTTGTGGCATAAAATGAACAGCGCACTTTATACTTGTTGAAAATAAGTCATTGATATTTTAAAATCATGTTCAAAAAACAGCGATAACGACGTTCGCAGAATAAGTGTCTCAAAAAAAAATTGATGGTTAGTTATTCCAAGAGGTTTTTTAAACCGACTAAAACCACATGGTCTTCGTTCACGGTGATGGTATTATACTAACTCCACGGAGTTGATTCCCGGTGATTACGCCAGATTGTGACGTGCCCTTAGACGAAAGTCCGGCTCAGTAGTTAAAAAAAGTTGTGAAAGTTATGTACTTATATGACACCCGTTTCGATAGAGTGCCGTACCACTGAATTTACGATTACAACATATTCAGTTGGACTTGGTTTCCGTTTGAATCCGTCTAGGAACCGTGGAAATACAGCATTTTAATTTGAAGTTTAGTACCAACGCAACAGGAAATACTAAAATGTAAAAAATTGTTAAATTAAATATTAATGTGGCTCAGCTTGGCCCGTAAGTAAATATTCGTTTAATAGCAAAAAAATTAACACGTTAATAACCGTCTACACTCTACAGTGTTCTTTAAC